AAACAAGTGCAAGAAAAACATTCATGCTGATGCTGAAATTAGTTACTTTACTATTTTCTCAAAATATGTAATTATTATTTTATATAGTTTATTTAATTAGCCACATCTCCTAATATCAAGGTTCATAGTTTGGTCTGATGCACCAGTATGACACTTTTAAATGTTGTTTACAAGCCAGCATGGCAATAAACATGTAGTGCTCATATAAGTCTAGCACTATAATATCTTAGAAAACCAAGTGCAGCCTGGAATACCACATATGTTAAATCACGTGTCACACTCACTATTCAGCCTTTTTGTATATTTTTGTTTACATTATTTTGCAGCAAATAATTCGTACGCTGTGTTCTTGTGCATGTAAAGTAACTGCAGTTGTTTTCAGTATTTTATGCTGGAGGAAAGAAGTCACTTTTAGACCAAACTAGAGAACTGCAGAATGTAAGAAGTGTACTGTTATTTTAAGTGTGTTTTTATTTTGTAGGATATGCTGACTCATGTCAGGTACTAGTTTTAACATTCAAGCAATTTTAAAATGGTACAAGAAAATAAACATACTGTGCTCATATGAGGACATAATTTCTTGCACTACTTCCTTTTCAAGAATGTTCTTAATTTTACTACTAATAGTACTACTAGCAGCAAATAACAAGGAAAAATTTAAATTGCACTAAACAAAAGCTTGAGTCTTAGGAGGCTAGGATACATTTTTCCACTCACTATATAAACAAACCTTCACTAGCTCTGCAGTCGTCAGTTAGCATCGTGGTCACTCACATCCCCTTTCAGACTCATGGACTTTTGTGATTTCTGGCAAAGAGATCTTTAAGAAAACTGTGCTGAGCTACTATGTGCTGAGTTACTATGAATCGCTAGATAATTTATTGGCGCCTTTTGACATGTTAGCTCTTTAACCGGCATTTTATTTATTGCTGACAAATCTCTCTGCAGCAATTACCAGCAACATTTGGAGTATCAGGCATAATGTTAACAAACAACCTCATAGTGTTAGTAACGCTGCAGCAATTCTCATTCTGGTGATGCAGCTGGCAGTGATGCCTTTTATATTATTTTTACCTATCATTACAAAAAAAATATTTAAATAATTCCTGAAGATTATCTTATGTTCAGTTGCATTAACTTCATGCATCTATCTTTGGTAAATGCTGTATTTTCTTTTTAAACATAATCCACAGTTCTTGCTGTATTTTAAATGTTCTCTATGACAGGTTGGGTTGCCAGGTCAAGCAAATATCCCCAGCTCAGAGTTTGCTTAAAAGCCTCCCTCCAGTAGCAGAAACTTCGTAATGTTTTTATGCAACTGCATTTTCAAACTAGCACAGGACTTACACAAACTAGGAGAACTGTGGACCTGGCAACCCTGACGATGAGTGGTCATGTAGAATCACATGCAAGTGAAAGCTACATGACCACCTCTTCGGGAATAGTCTTTTTTATGACCAGGGGGATGGCATCCTCTCAAACTGAACAGTGCCTGTGAGCATATATTTTACTAATGTGGTGATTTAACTAAATATTACAAAAAGTGTTCTCACACTGACCCCACCTCTGAGCTGTAAACTGGAAAATACAAGGAAACAGTATCCCATGTTCCTGATTCTAATGTCGGAAGGAAAAGCAGAAAACAGTATGTTTCTATAGGGGGGGGGCGTGTTTATTATTTAAGAACAATGGCCTTAAATTCATTTCCTTTTACAGTTCTGAGGTTAGCAGAATTGTTAGCACCATTCTCGAGATTGACGCATTCAGCAGCCCTTTTCTCACACGGTGTGGGGCTGATATGGTTTTTATTTTTTTATATATATATTTTTTTTTTCATTGACACAGAAAGTGAAATGCAGCAGGGAAAATATTTGTCACAGGAAAGGTGAGGCCCTATATATCTCTCACTCTTTTCATACTTTTGTATTTATGAAACCATAAAAATTCTTGGAACTTTGAAAGCCCCTCCACCTAGAACAGGAAAAGAACCTCAGGGAGAAGAATGGGTCCACAGGGCCTTATTGCTAAGCTGTGATCTGCCAGATTGCTTGAGGACATTGATATGGGGGCTGGGTGTGTGTTAAAGAGAGTGTGTGTTTTGTCAGAGAACGAGAATTGAAGCCATAAAATACTGGATCAGGCCTCAGCAGACCCCCTGTACAGATAAAAACAAAGATGAGTTCCATATAGGAGTCAAGACCTGCAGCTCCCCAGTGTATTTCCAAAGATGCTATCAGTATTTCAAGAGTCCAGCTTCTGGCGATTATCTGATCATTGCTTTTGAAAGTAAAATGTAAGTAAATTAGCACTTGCAAACAACATGAAATGCAACAGAAGCATGTCCAGATATCCTCATAAAAATGCACAAAATATATAAAAATAGGGACATATAGTCCAATCTTGTGCATCACATACACTCTTAAAAAGACACTTTTCTTTGGAGCTGGCTTTTTTGAATTGCCAAGCCAAAGTTCTTTTCTTACTGTTTCTGAGGAAAATTCTGACATGACTGTCTTGTTCTTTGCTGATTGAAAAGAGAGTTTGATTGGATGTAAATAGTGAGATTTACTTGGATAGTACACCTAAGGAACTTACACCTGTAATCACCCGATGTCTGAACTTTCCCCTGATGTTGACATTGGCGATATATTCTGGACTGTTGGCTTGATGCAGAATGAAGTAACTCCACTGTGTATGGAGCAGACTTCTCTTTAAACAGGTAGATGAGATGTTACAGTTCACTCTGTGCTGCTGCCATTATCAATGAAATTGAATTATAGCATGACTAAAAATTTGCTGAAAAAGTTCCAGAGGCTATTATCAATCTTCAGAAAAACATATGACACTATGTTTTCCATGTTTTGCTAATCAAATAGCATGCTTTGGATACTTGCAGTTTTTTTTTCCCAAGCTTTCCCATTACCATCTCTTTAGTAGAGACTTACTTTCATCTCATCTGTGTGTAAACCTTCCTTCCAGACCACTACTGACTCATAACTGTGTCATCTGTTTTATTCTGTTTTTGCCAATTATGAAAGGTTTGTATGTTGTGGTGTAGACATCATAACTTAGTCAGAGTCTGTTGGGGACAGTAGACTGTCTAAACCTTTGTGGGTTGTTGATTATTCTCTTCACTTCAGTGTAGAAGGAAATGATGTACAATGCAAATACAGATTACACAAATGTTTGTTCAAATGTGTTAATCTTATCAAATACATACTTTTTGGGGCACCAGGAACCATGATTATTTGTGCTAGACCTTCTGGCCATACATGTCAAAAATGTGGGAAAAAAGCACCTACAGCTCCACAGTGATGCTAATTTCAGGTAGTGCACCTATGGGATTCTAGCAATATGTTAGTGCTAATTATGTATTTACCTTGTTGCATGATTGCACTGACTCCTTCAGTAAAGATCTGTGACATAGAGCTGCCGCTGTTCTCCATTCTAACAACTGACTGAAACTGATGGAACCTGAAACTGACTAGATAGACAGTCAGTGATGTATAAAGAACTTTTAGAAGGCCTAGAGTGATTTTTTCTCTCTCAAAGTTGGTCCCACCCACTGTGATTGGTTGATTCTGCTGTCAGTTCCTAATCAGGTTAATCGGACAGATTAGGCCAGGGGTTGGCAACATGCAGCTCCGAAAAAAAAAGTAAAAAGAGAGATTTAAAACGAACACCAGTGATTTGGGAACAAACTGACTTATTTGCATTTATGAGCACTCGGCTTGTTTTCTGATATGTTTCATCTGCAATGAGAAACTGTCAAACACTTTAAAGTCGCAAAGCTGAAGTCTCTCGTTCACCAGCTTCTCGTTTGAATTTTCCTGCTCTTCCTTAAATGGCACAGCAGTTACATTCTGGCACCTCAGGCAGCATTTAAGGTGAAAATTTTAACAAGAAGCTGACAAATGAGAAGCTGACTGCAGCCTCATAAGAAATTGAATGTTGAGAGACATTTTACAAGAAACTATTTTCCTTTCGCAAAAAAGTTTCATGCTGGAGACACAAGAAAAGCAGCTATAGCTGACCTAAAGCATAAAGCAGAGCAAAGTAAGTAACAGATTTAAAGCAAAAATGGACATAAAATGTTGTGGTTTCCAAGGTGGTTTGATATTTTTTCAAAGGACAAAATGTCTCTTCTTAACATATGGGTTGCTGACCCCTGGATTAGGCCTTTAAACCAGCTGCTGAACAAACAACATGAAATGCAACCATTTGAACAGCTTGCTTGTCCGTATCTACCTAGTTACTATGGTGGAAAAAATAGGACAATTTTCTGTTGATCATTTCTAGAATGTTTTCCTTTGTTTCCAGCCAAAGAAATAGGAGTAGTAGTAGAGTACTTGCAGAGTGTAAATACAATGAGCATGATGAGTATATTTAATAAAAATTACCTAAAAATTACAGACATGGATTTTTCATTTCACAAAAATCATTTGGCCTCCTCTAAAAGCTTTGAAGTCCCCAAGGCCTCCCTTTACATAAAATATATTTCCATATGAACTCATTTCCATTCCATTCCAACTCAGTATTGCATCACATATTAAGCTTGCAGAGTAGTCATGTACAGCATATTCTTCAAAATAAAAGTGCTACAAAGTGTTCTTTGAGCAGTGCCCTAGAAGAACCACCCTAAATAAGTGTGTGAGTGCAAGAAGTCCTTTTAAAGTTTAAAGAACCTTTATATAATAAAAAGGATCTCTGCCAGTTTAATAGCTCTTCCACAAGCGTTGCATTACGTGAAAGCAAAAAAATGTTCTTCACACTCGCACAATCTCATTCACAAAAATGATTATCTAAAGAACCATCCATTAAAAAGGAACCATACATTTTTTAGGGTAGCAAAAATGGTTCTTCTGTGGGATCATGCCAAGAGGTAAGAATAGTATAAGGTGGAGTTCAAGGATAATTCACTTACATTATCATGATAACTTTGACAACATCACAGACTCTAATAAGACTGAAATACAAACACATATGTTTTCTATTGCCAGACGTGAAGTGCTGCACTTCCATGAGAGTCAAGGGATTCATGACCTGAAAGAACCTCGCTGGCAGCTCACCCTTTGCCTCGTGGTGGTGGTGTTCATTCTCTACTTCAGTCTGTGGAAGGGTGTTAAATCCTCTGGAAAGGTATGGAAATCCTAAATGTATTGGTACTAATTTTCATCAGTCTGTCTTGTTTATGCTTATTTATAAAAATACTAATCAGAAAGAGTGTCAACAGAAAAAAACTATACAATAGATAATATATATACTGCAAATCTACACTTGGTCTCAAGTTTATAGTTATTTAGAATATGCATTATGGACATTACAGCTGCTTACAGGAGTCAAATACACTCACTGAGCACTTTATTAGGAACACCTGTACATCCACTCATTCATGAAGTTATTTAATCAGCTTATCATGTAGTAGTTGGACAGTGCGTAAAATCATGATACAGGCCAGCAGCTTCAGGTAATGTTCACATCAGCCATCAGAAAGTGGAACAAATGTGATCTCAGTGATTTGGACTGTGGCATGATTGTTGGTGCCAAAAGGGCTGGTTTGAGTATTTCTATAATTGCTGATCTCCTAGGATTTTCACACACAGCAGTCTCTAGAGTGTACTCAGAATGGCACAATAAAAAAAGAACATCCAGTGAGTGGCAGTTCTGCGGAAGGAAATGCCTTGTTGATGAGAGAGGACAACAGAGAATGGCCTGACTGGTTTGAGCTGACAGAATGGCTACAGTAGCTCAGATAACCACTCTGTACTACTACAACAGCTGTAGACCACGTTGGGTTCCACTTCTGTCAGCCAAGAACAAAAAGCTGAGGCTGCCGTGGGAACAGGCTCACCAAAACTGGGCAGTTGAAGACTGGAAAAATGGAGCCTGGTCTGAAGAATCTCAATTTCTGTTGAGGCACACAGATGGTAGGATCAGAATTTGACACCAACAGCATGAATCCATGGTCCCAACCTGCCTTGTGTCATCAGTCTGGGCTGGCGGAGGTGATGCAATGGTGTGGGGAATGTTTTCTTGGCACACTTTGGGCCTGTTAGTATCAATCATTTATCTTTTGAATGCCACAGCCTATTGGAGTATTGTTGCTGACCATGCGCAACCCATCTTGGCCACAACTTACTATCTTCTAATGGCTACCTCCATGTCAAAAAGCAGAAGTCGTCTCAAACTGGTTTCATGAACATGACAGTTTTCAGTGTTCCTCAGTGGCCTTCCCAGTCAACAGATCTCATTCCAATATAACACCTTTGGAATGGGGTAGAATGGGAAAGTACACCTGAAAAATCTCAAACCAGAATCTAAAATAAATATGTCCAGCATCTTGTGGAATCCATGCCAGAAAGAATTGTTTTGAGAGCAAAGGGAGGCCTCACCCAGTATTAGTAAAGTGTTCCTAAAAACAGTGTGTGATGAGTTTAAGTTTAGAGTTTAGGTAAAGTAATGGCGTGTATCAATAAATCTTTTCATAACTTTGTATACTTTCGAATGGTTAAAAATGAAGTGCCTCTTTAATCTAATGCTACTCCATTTGTATGTATATGTGTGCAGGTCGTTTACATCACTGCCACCATGCCCTACATCGTGCTGCTGGTGCTGCTGATTCGAGGCATCACTCTACCTGGCGCTCTGAATGGAATCCGTGCGTATCTCCACATTGACCTAAAGAAGCTCAACAACCCTCAAGTGAGTGAGTTTAAATTTATTTTAAAATAACCTGGAAACTGACAATTAAACATGCGAATGTTATCATTACTTTTCTAGTGTATATACCTGTATATAGTTGAAGCACACCCTGTGCTACCCTGGGCTCAGGAAGGACGCTGGAGGCAGGAGAAACATTTGCAGCAGCCACTTCTTCATTATCTACCCCACAAACACAAACAAACCAAACAAAACCAGATGCTAAGCTGGCCGCTTTTCAGTGGCTTCAAACAAGACTTTTCAGTCCTTTTCTCACTCGAGTTTCCCAGCTCTTCACTCTTTCACTGCTGCTGCTCGTCCCTCTCTCTCTCTCTCTCTGTTCCCTCTCTGCTCTTTTAAACGTGCCCATGTTGCCACGCCAGTTCAGCATCAGCTGGCTCTCATTAAGGGCAGCTTGAGCTCCTGAGCTGAGATGGACAGAGAGCTTGTTGCTCTGCCTCCATCACTGCCCCTGCTCTTGGCCACCAGAATCGAACATGAGGCAAGTTAAAATGGCCTCACTGCTGTCTTTATGGGGTTTCATCTGGGCTCGAAATTCGGGTCTTGCAGCATCACTGGGGCCCAGGGGACAGGTGCATGTCACAATAGTATATATCTGTAGACACATATGCTAAGTGTCCTTTTTAACAGAAACACCTACACTGTGCTTAATTCCCATGATCATTTGCCTTATACACTGACCGACCACTTTAAGTACACTCACCTTGTTTCTCTGCATACTTTGTTAGCCCATTTTTACTCTGTTCTTCAATGATCAGGACCCCTATAGGACGTCCACGGAACAGGTATTATTTGGGTGGTGGATCATTCTCAGCACTGCACTGACGTGGTGGTGATGTGTTATTCTGTGTTACACTGGTACGAGTGGACCAGATACAGCAGTGCTGCTGGAGTATTTAAACATCCACTGACTGTGCGCTCTATTACCTTGCATTCAATCTGGCAGCGGCGCAACGCGACAAAGTGGCCAGAGGCCGTTCATTTTCAATGAAAGCTGGCGATTTCTGGCAACAGGAGGCGGCGCGAACGTTGGCGATGCGAAGTGGGCAGAGTCAGCGACGCAACAAAGTTGAGCGGAGTTTAACTTTATGCAAATAAGGAGCGAAGCGACATGGCGATTACCAATAGAAACTAAACTTTGAGCAGCTTAGTACAAGCTTTATCTCTGCCACTGTAAAACAGTGCACCTTGATTCCTAGGTATTTGTTCCTACTAGAGACTGAATGACGGCAGCAGTGCTTTTGCCACAAATAGACAGTTATCGCAAAGACTATGTATCTTTACCATGTTCAATATATTCTACTTACCTAACTCACAAGCTATGTAAGTTATAACCTTTGCCTGGAAGTAGGACAGCTCACCTAAGTTCCCAGTAAAGATGAGCAGGGAAATTTTTTGTTTACATGTTGGTGTTGGGAAAGAAGCACCGTTCTTTGTCTTATTGCCCATGTTCTGTGCCTTAATTGGTTCAAAACTGACAGTACATGACTGACGGCAGCATACAGGCCTTGGTAGTATAACAAGCAGTGTGGTTTAGCTGGGGGTTTAACACAAATTATACATCCTCAAAAGCGCTACTGTATACCAGCAAGGTGAAAATAGAAGGTAACTATTTCTATCAAAGTGGCCAGTGAGTGCATTTTATTTTGTTCATATCTTACTGCAGGGTTTCCTATCACTCTTTGCTGTACAGAATGTGTGCTTTGTGTGTTGCAGGTGTGGATTGAAGCTGCCACTCAGATTTTCTACTCTCTAGGGGCAGGTTTTGGAGTCCTTATCGCCTTTGCCAGCTACAATAAATTTGAAAATAACTGCTACAGGTAAGACAGGGCTTTGATACAAAGCATAGGGTTTGGATATCACGACCTCCATCACCAGTGCTGTGGCATAATGAGAAGCTTAGTCAGTCTCATGCACACCTTTCTGGTTTGTTAAAAGCATCACAGTGCAAGTAAATGATAGCTATCTCCAGGTTTCTCCTTGGAGCTGTTGCCTAATTAAATTCAGAGCTACAGTTGCTGCCAGATTTCTGCTCACACTGAGCCAATAGCATCTCTGCTTTGTGTCATTCTCCAAAGAGCATGTCAGACAGAAGGAGCCCCAAGCCTCTGCCCCTGCCTCGCTGATAAGGGCAATTGTGTTGTTGTTAGGTGCATGTGTCCTAGTAAAGCTAGGTTTCTGTGGCAAGTATCAAGGATGACCAGCTTAAACACTGAAAATGTCAATACATTTTTCAGTATTACAGCCTATAATAACATGGTATATTAAAGCATTTTGCAATGTTAGGTAAAACAGTAAGACAGTAGCAAAACTCTTCTAGTTACTGTCTGGAGTAATGTTACAGCAACATGATTACTTTTTGCTGAAACAAAGTAGCATAACACAATACTGTTTAAAATCTTCTAATCACATTACAGTTACTAACTTAACATGTCTTTTAGAGAACAATATTCACCATATGTATTAGCTTTATGTGTAATTTGTGTGTGCGTGTGCCACCTGCGACGGCTGACTTCGCTAACTGCAACTGAATGTGAACAGTGGCGCGTGAGCCTGGGAAATGCTGAAACAATGTGTCAAAGCATCTAATCATACTAATATAAAACTGATGGATCATGATTCCTTCAGGAAAAGCTCTGTAAGCTTTAAATTTTATTAATGAAGACTTAATTTTGAGGCAACGGTTTCTGGACTGTTTTTACTGGCTACTTTCTATAATTAGCTGTGCATTGTTCAGGGCAGGGATACTGACTGCCTTTTAAATGATATTTACTCTGATAGGCTAAAGTAGTTCCATAACAGTTTGAGAGAAGAAATGAATCATTCGTAATGTATTACTATTTTTGAGTACCTACCCCAACACTGTCTAAAGCAGTGGTCCTCACCATGCCTGCAGAACCTGATGATTGTATTCATATTTTAAATAAAAACTAATTTCGGGAGCCAATTTCCCATGACCACACCATTCAAAGCTTGAAATCATTGTTCAATAATTAGGAATTTATGTTTTAAAAAAAAGAATTCCCATTGCTTTCAGATAACATAGAAATACTGGAGTGCTATGCAGCTTCATAGGTTTTACTGTATACTGTAGGGAAAAAAAAATACATATATATATATATATATATATATATATATATATATATATATATATTTTATATATGTATAGCACCAAGATGCCTGGTCTCAAATATCAAGACAGCTAAATCCCCTGTCATATATTAAGTTTCAGATTATACTCTCTATACTGCAAATGTGATTTTAAGAGCTTCAAGCACAATGTTGTTCATTTTGGCCCTATTTCAGAGAGTGAAATTAAAAATCACCATATCCAAATGAAGGTTGTCCAAGGTCATCTTGTGAGGCATGTAAACAGCGTGGGATCAAGCTCGCTGGCCCAGTGACGGTCTGATGGGGCAATTAAACATGGGATCTCGCACAGTGGGCGGAAGGGCCCCGCTCCTCATTAACCTTATTCAGCCCTTATTCGACAAACAATGGCCTGGCACTGGCCATGAATCCACGCTAGTGGGAAAGCGAAATCTCCTTGCCTTTGGATAACATGATGAAATGTTGCTCACAGCCAAGACCTGGTTTCAATAAAAATGTAATTTTGCATTTACCGTCTTGTTTCGGAAACATCAGAGAGCTGTTGAAAGAGTCCATGCGTCATACACATTTGAAAGACTCAAACTGGACGTGGTTTGGGTCTGTTTGTGTTGTAACAAATGTCACAGATTATCTTTTTGAAGGAATGATAGATAGTGGTAGTGTTGTCACTGGCTTAAATTATGTCCTTTCACCTTGACATATACACTGTGTCAGTTTATTAGGCGCACCTATGTAGTTGCTGTGTCTTCTTTGCCCTTCAGAACAACATGAATTTAGCCAGGCGCATATTCTACAAGATGCTGGATGCAGGGATGTTGTACCATGTGGAAACGACTGTGTTGCACATTTGTTGCAAAATGAACAGCAACAGCAACAGTTTACAGCAACGGTCTTGTCATAAACAGCCCCTAACTCATCCCAAAAGTTGTGCAATAGAGTTGAGGCTGTGTGATTGTGCAGGCCACTGATGTAATGTAAATGCTTTAATGTTATTGAAACCATTCACTGATACATGGCTTGTGACATGACGCATTATCACGCTAGATAATGCACCATGTACAATTTTAAAAGGCTGATAAAAAAGGCTTAAAAAACCTACAAATTCACCAACAGAAACAGCAACCTTAAAATGATATCTTTATGAATATAATGTAAAGCTGACATAGCTGTTCCTAAAGGAAAATCGTCTGGTTTTGAAATCAATTCCACCTTGAGTCCACCTTACCCTGAGACTAAGACAAGATCAAGTGCAAATGATGTTGAAACCAAGACAAGAATGAAACAATTAATTAACATGCAACACTACCTCCAACAGTTTCATATTAGCATGATCAGGTGCTTGACAGCTGCCGCAGTTTGTACATGCGTGCACAAATTATGATGGCCAGCATGGATAATCAATACACTAAACAGGATGGCTCCATGGACTCTTGTTACTTGCTCCCCCGCCTAGCACTGGTGGTATTGTGTGATTGGGGGACACCTAACTAGTGAGTGGAATGTATAAAAAGCCCAGAACGACCCAGAACCGGCACTAGTATCACCAAATATCATGCCACGTTCAAAAATCGTGAACGTCAGTCATTTTACCAATTCCGATGCCCAGTGTTTTGCTAAGTGATGGTTAATAACATAACATAACGAAAGTGAGGAATTGTCCTTATTTTTTTAATAAAAGAGTTGTAGTATGTAGTATGTAGTCTTGCAGATGAGATCTTGTAATGAGAATTTTGAAGAATTCTGGGGACATGTTGTTAAACTTTTGGTGCAAACAAGCGTGTGCCCCCTAAAATACCCTAATATTCCTCTAGTGTGTCCTTTTTTAGTGTAATTGTGAACACAAGCAAAACAAGCAAGCTAGCGAAACACTAGTGCTTGTTAGCTAACGTTCATTCTTAAAAATAATGTTTCAGGACCATTGCTCGATAATTTAGTTTTGTCCAAGTGTAAACTGTGAAAAGCAGAAGCCACAGTCAGCCACTGCTAATCTAACTCTTATCACTAGCCCACAGATATCATCCAAAGCTAAAGTATAGTCTAGATTAATTGGCCTCACAAGGCCATGGGTTTAGAAACCAATCAGTTTGTTTTCATATTTAGCCCAGAATTTCTCATAGATGTTGCAACACATTCTCATTACAAAGTCACATCTGGTCCTGCAAGACTATGTAGTATGTTCACCATGTTCAAATTTAAAAATTTAGCAGTTCTTCCATATGCAGAAACTAAGCTGCAAAAAAAAACATGTTTAATTTGAATGTGTATTGTTACTTTGTGCTCTTGCAGGGATGCCATCCTGACCAGCACTATCAACTGCGTCACCAGTTTCTTCTCAGGGTTCGCCATCTTCTCAGTGCTGGGCTACATGGCCCATGAGCATGGTGTCAGCATTAAGGAAGTGGCCACTGAAGGTATGTGTAGTGCACTATCCTCTTTCATCTCTTCATCAGTTTTAATTATATTTATATTAGATTTTGGCTGCCATACATTTAGTCAATAATTGATTGTATTTCATGGATATTTACAGAACTGTGCAAAACTCAGAAAACTTAATTTATTTAATTTCTGGTCAAAATGGCCATTAAGTACAAGTTATTAATTTGTCTGGAGATATTTCTGAGAAGAGTAGATGTAAGATAATCTACTTGCATAAGGAAGGAGAAAATTAAAAGAAAGTAAGTTTCCAAATCTGGAGTTTAAAAAATGACTGAAAGAAACAGAGAAAATGGGACTCCTAACAACTGTGCAAGATCTAGTAGACCACCAAAACTTTCAAATCAGATATACAGCACTTATAAAGCTTTCATCTTCAAGCTTTCATCAGAGACAGGAGAAAATCAAGCTCCACTCTTACTTCAGATCTGAAAAATCCACAGGTGTAGCTCTCAGGAAGCTGTTTACAAAAGATTTACAAATCAAATAAAGAAGCTATTGGTGTTCTAAAAACAATGGGCTGACCACCCCATAGTCCAGACCTCAACACTGAATGTGTTTGGGATTACTTGGATCCAGAAACTTTGGAGGTGTGGGAAAATATTCCTCCAGATTTCTTTGAAAAACTTCATCCTGAAAAGAATGGAAGCTGTACTAAAGGCAAAGTGTGGACGCACTGAGTACTGAAAGATTTGATATAATGTTTTTTTTTCTTTTTCTTGATGCTGAAAAATTAATGGCTTGATACTTATACCTAAACTGTTTTGACAGACCATCCATCCATCCGTCATCTAAACCGCTTATCCTTCTGGGTCGCAGTGGGGTGCTGGAGCCTATCCCAGCTGTCACTGGGCGGAAGGCTGTTTTGACAGACCATTTTGATTAAATATATAAAGGGTGGTCTGTGTGTGTGTGCTTGCAGGGGCTGGTCTAGTGTTCATTATCTACCCAGAGGCCATTTCCACTCTTCCTGGCTCCACTTTCTTTGCCATATTCTTCTTCATCATGCTCCTGACCCTCGGCATCGACAGCTCTGTGAGTGAATCACTGTACATAATAATGATCTATAATTACTGTGTGTAGCTTGTGGTTTGTAATCAAGTGTGAAGAATTGCTGCAGTTGTGCAATGTGTGTGGGATTCTTGAATGTTCCCTTTTTGAAATGCTGTTTTCTTTCTTTCATCTGTCATTTCTTTCATTTTGACATTCTCTATTTTGTCACCAAATATATTAAATCTTACTAATATATCTCTGGTGTATTTGGACTATTAGACTGTATTCCATCAAGTCTGTCATTCATCAGTTAATGAACATAAGAGATGGATGAACTCAAGCTTGGCACGGATGGATATAGAAATATGACCCAAAGATTATTTTCACTTAGTACGCATAACAAGGATCTTCATGCAGTATGAGAAAAAAAGACATTAAGTTATTGATCAGATTTTTTCAGCACCAGGAACTTCTTAGGAAAAATTGAACTTCAGAAATATTGTTTTGTATCATTGTTGTTGTATCCAAACCAGTTGCCCTTTACATTGTGTCAACATTGCATGATAAATGGACTATAAAATCTCATTACATTAACATTCATGGATAACTTTAAGGAATGGTTTGATAAAAAATCCCAATTTTTCACTTACCCTAGATGTAGTCTATCAGCCAAAACATGCTTAGTGTCCAAATTTTGCTTAATTAGTTCAGTGCTGGAATGACTAACATTGCTAACAAACACTAAAAGTTAGTAGTCGCCCAAGTTTTGTTCATATTTATAGTTCAAAACAAGTCATACTGTATCCTAAACTATGCCAACCTAAGGTCTGTGTGACCTTAATGAAGACATGGATGTGGTTTGAGATTGAGGGAAGTCTTTACAGAAATGATTTGGGTGACTGTTGCCTTAATGTGTTTGTACATTAGAATAGTAGCTACCACACAAAAATACAGAAGCAAAATTTGGACACCAAACATGTCTTGATTGGCTGATTGACTGCATCTGGGGTAAGTGGAAAATTGTGTTGGATTTTTGCTGGTCCATTCCTTTAACTACAAAATACTTAGAAATGAAGCATTTCTCAACAACACTAACATGTCAGAACAATAGATTTTGCGAGAACAAAAAACTGTGAAAAATGTTCTAGAAATATTGCACTTAAGGGAAATTCGTAACTGAAGAAAAAATAGCATAAGACACACACTCACACTCCTTACATTCACATTTTTCAAACAGTATGTACACAAACACAAATGCTCATTCTTGTGTCATTTTCTGTTCAGATGGGTGGAATGGAAGCAGTCATCACTGGACTCACAGACGACTTCAAAATCCTCAGGAGGAACAGGAAATTGTTCACCTTCATCACCGCATTTGGAACCTTTCTGGTTGCCTTACTGTGCATTACCAAAGTACGTTTCATTCTCTTACATAAAGTTTTGAAAATCAGCAGATCATTCAGTAATTGGATGTTTAGAAGTTACATTTTTTTTACAAATTAATAGTACTAGTTATATCTGCAGTTTTAAAAACAAAAGTTCTGTAAAGGTTCCTGGTTTGGATGTATGATTCTAGAAAAATGCTTTTCATTTGTAAAGAAGCTCTACATTATGGACTGTTTTTTAACCCTTTACATGGCCATGGGCCCACCCCTTGGGCCCGAAGTTTTGTTACACAATTCTATAACATAAAAATAACTCTACTTGTTTGCATTGAATTCCCTTTAGTTAATGAATAATAAGCCTTAGTCATAATAAGGTTAAAGAAAGGTTCTTTAAGGAACCAAAAGTGGTTCTTCTATGCCATCACTCCAAAAAACCCTTTTTGCAACCTTTATTTTGAAGAATATTGTAGTATGTCTAAACAGCAACAAAACATTCCTCCAAAATCTTGGACCTTATTCACAATGCTCAGCTTGATGTTCATCCTAATCTCCTTCCAGAGCTACGCCAACCATTATTGGAAAAGACATAATAACATTCAGACTTAGACGCCATGTTCGTGCTCATAGGAAACATTTAATTTGCTCATAGACTCCTGAGAAAACAAGAGCAAGAATTGTCATTTGACCTGAAGGTTCACAAATACAGAGGATCATTGTCTTCAGACTCGCATGCCATGGTTTATATGATTTAATACATGTGCTCAGAGAACAGTAGGGAACATTTCAGGAATACTCTGGCCTGCAAAGGCAAAACATTGTTTAAGAGATAAAAAGAAGGCTGAATTAGTATTTATCTACACAAATGAAATGATACATACCTTTAACGTGTAAATAAAGCAAAAAATGTGCCAGCAATACTGATGTACCACAGAATAATAATAATAACAATAACAAACTATAACAAACTATAACAAAAAATGACAAATAATAACAAACTTTAAATTGGCAAAGTCAGCTGGTAATACTTCAAGATTAAAGCAGTTGCAGAACACTTGTGATAGATTTTGAAAACTTAATTGGGTTTATATAATAATAATAATAATAATATGTTTCATTTATATAGCCCTTTCACCACATATAATGTAATTATAAGTATTTGCTATGGTATTTAAACTTGTTGTTAGGATATTGTTAAGTGGTTGCTAAGGTGTTGCTAGGCCATTGCTATGGTGTCCCATGTGTTGTTAGGCCATTGCAATGGTATCCCAGGTGGTTGCTAGGGTGTAACTAGGCCATTGCTGTGGTATCCCAGGTAATTGCTAAGGTGTTACTAGACCATTACTTTGGTATCACTGGCAGTTGCTAAGGTGTTGCAAGGCCACTGCTGTGGTATTCCAGGTGGTTGCTAAGGTGTTGCTAGGCCACTGCCGTGGTATTCCAGGTGGTTGATAATGTATTGTTAGGCCTTTGCTATAGTATCCCAAGGGGGCTGCTGAGGTGTCGCTATGCCATTGCTCTGTGATGCCAGTTGGTTGCTAAGGTATAGCCAGCGTAATTGTATGATGGTAGCATAAGATGAGTTGTCCAAAAACATTTGACTACAGAGTGTACACTGACTGTGGTGGAATAAGAGGTAGAGGTATCAGCAGTAAATATGATGTATGTGGAATGACTTTCTTTCAGGATGTTGAGCATTCCCCCATTCATTCCTATGTAAATTGTACTTAAACAAATGCTCAGGCAAACTATTCAGGTTCAAAGTTCAAAGTTTTTTTTTTGTTTGTTTTAGCATGAAAGCTGTAGGAGTAGCATGACCTGTTTTGACTATAGAATAATAATAAAAAGAAGACAACAAAGAACAACTGTTGTTTTTTTTTCAAGTCAACTTAATAATAAGCATAATTTATGTAACACCTTTCATACATTTAAAAGCAGCTCGAAGAGAAATACTTAGAAAAACTTCTAAAATAAAAACTTCTAAAATAATAATAATAATAAAATAACAATAAAAACATAAGACAATAATGACTTGGAAAAACAAGACATTGTAGCACATGAAAAAAAAAATCATTTAAAATCCAGATTTTCAGTTTTCATAGTCAGCACTGATAGCAGATTTCAGTATCTCAGTTTTTTTTTTTCTTTCTCTGCTGAATCGCTTCATCCACAGGGAGGGATCTATGTCTTCACTCTGCTGGACACCTATGCTGCAGGGACGTCTATTCTATTTGGGGTTCTCGTGGAGGCCATAGGAGTGTCCTGGTTCTATGGTAGGTGCTTCCTCATTAATTGCAACCTATATGCCATCTACTCACCATGCACCAATCACAGGTTTTGCAGTTATAACCCCATCTTGCACATGCTGAGAAATGGTTGTGACATTTCCATTTCTGGGCTGCCTTCCACCAAAAGAAATGACCAGTAAATAAACAAATTTCCACAAAACATTACTAACCACAGGACATTAGACTGCATTTGATATCCCAAGCCTTTACATTTCAAACAGCTATGATTTTTTAACTATGTTGTCAAATTATGAGTCAGCAGGTGGATTAAAATTACACTGTTTATGATTCAACTACAACAGTGGGTTGCTTCACCAAAAAATAGATTGTGGAAGCTGTATCATTCCAGAATAACGTAATGTTAATATTCAAGGACTGTCTCCATTTCTTTTGCACAAATGCATTCATTCACCAGTTGATAAACACAATTATGAAATGAAAAGACTTTTCTCTATTGCAAATAATGGGATTAGCATGGATGTTCTTTATAAAAAGAGTGTGTGACTGAAGGACATTTGTTCAGGTTTGGAAGTGGTCACATGCAGTTCATTCTGAAGCCACTAAGATTAAGTCCTGAATCAACTCAGTCCATGATGCTTAAAGCTCCTTGTGTGAGGCAGCTGTGATGGAAGTCTATAGCTAGGGGCTACTGTATGATTACCAAAAGTTAATCAAAAAGTCATATAAAATTTTCCAATCCCAGGACCCCTCAATCCTTAGTTGATATTGTAATTTTGTTAAACTATTCAAATGCAATTACACAATTATAGAATTTGCTACATAGTTACCTAAGGAATTACATTTATATTTGTTTCAATGTCAATGCATTGATGCCATAAAGACAAATTCAAGTCATAATAAAATATCTCCTCCTCTACTTATAAACACAAATGTTCTGTTGACTGAAGGTTTAGAATCTACACTTATGACACAATATCTCTGCTTGTTTCTAGTGCTGCAGCAAATATTTGCTAATATTCAATAAATACAACACTCAAAATATTCAAAAAAGGAAAGGCCATTCAAGTATCTGACCCTTACCACATTTACAAAACTGCACACTTCTGTGAGGAAACCAATGTTTGTTTATCAAGCTAAATGCTAGCTTGTCACCAGCAGATGCAGTTATGCTATATGCCAGAGTCTTTTAAAGAGGCATGGCCTCAAATGGCAATGCATTACAAACCAGCATGCTACTGTCAACAAACACTCTTCATTGCTGCATCCACAAATGCAAGTTAAGACTGTGCTCTACACAGTGTAAGTCACATGTCCACAACGTCCAGGAACGCCAGCTTCTCTGGCCTTGATCTTATCTGAAATGGACTAATGCACAGTGGAAAAGTGTATTGTGGTGTGAAGGGTCAACCTTTTAGATTGTTTATGGGAATAATGGACTTCATATTCTCCAGGCCAAAGAAGAAAAGGACCATCCAGAGTGTTACTAGAGTAAAGTTTAAAAACCACAATCACTACAAAACTCATAGTAATAGGAACAGTAATTATAATAGTAAGAGTAACAGGCTGTTCGGGACAGTCTGCTTGACACAAAAGCACTTATTTTTCCAATATGCTTTTCAAATAACAGCTTATTACTGTAAAATCCAACATTTTAACTTTTTTGACAAGACGCTGGACCACGATTCTGTCCAGGAATGTGCTGTATTTAAGGGATATGGTAGATTACTGCAGAGCTTCTGCTGTATAGTGTAACTTACATTTTAGTTTCATAGTAGTTACCAATTTTTTATAGCTTATTTTAAAGATTATTACAGAATAATAAGCCCAGAGCTTAGGGGGTTAAGCAAGGATTCATTTGAGCTAGCTTTTAATCAGAGTTTCTGAACAGTGCAGGAACCGATCAAAGTGCTCTCAGACTCTGAAGTTTGACAGTATCACCCACAGACTTTTTTTTATCACCCGTCTTTCCTACTCAGTCTTGGTGTCTCCCCTCCTTCCCTTTCACTGTAATTTCATTGCATAATTTATCAGCACAGGCTTCAGGTCAAGCTGAGAGTGCAGATTTTTGCTGATAAGTTGTATCAGTGTATTCTCTTGCTGGAAATGATGCCTGGATGTTTGTGTATGTGTGTGCCCCTCAGGCGTGGACAGATTCAGTGAGGACATTGAACGGATGATGGGCTTCAAGCCAGGACTCTACTGGAGGCTTTGCTGGAAGTTCGTCAGCCCTGTTTTTCTACTGGTGAGTGATGATGAAGGCATGGGAAAAAAGTGCAGCTGTAACAGGATTAGACCCATACATATTAATCACCTTAGAGTAAGAATGCTGATCCAGGATCAGCTTCCCTTGAATAAGGGCTAATTTGACTAGGATGAAATTTATATGATAACATGGCTAAAAAAGGATAAGAAACCAGTCCTTGTTAGTATTATGCAGACTGCTTGTTACAAACTACTAGCTTTCGTAGCTTATGTTAGCATTTTGACCTTTGAAGTATTTAAATTGGGACTGAAGATAATTAGGTCCTGCTATACCATGATTATATGGATAATTACATAGTTATGTAAAGAATTACATTTACGTTTGATTTACACTCTTTAACGACAGGTTCTAGTCTGACTTTCTTCCTTTTGATTCAATGTTAACAAATGACAGAACATGGCAAAAATGTAAAGGGTGTTTTCTCTTTCCTCAAAATAAGGCTATATGGATCATTTTACCGAACTGGTTTAAAGTTAGATTTGAAAATGCATTTCAGACCTTTAAGCGACTAAAATACTTTTGCTTTGAGTGACCCTATGTTGTAATTACATTTATTTTATTAAAATAAATGATTGAACTTTCAATTTTTTCACTATGAAAACAATCATAAATGTTTCGGAGGTGACTGTTTCGGTAGTGATAATTTTAGCTCATTTTAAGCATAACTCAAAAATGTAGGCAGTACATGACTAGCAAATGCAGCTTTGAACAGTTGTACACACATAAAATCATAATAATGTTTAATAAAACACAAAAAAGTTAACTTTTTAATTAACTACATCTTATTGTTTCATACTTACTGATCTTACTGTTTACCATGTGGCCATGAGGGACAGGGATGCAGTCCCATTTCCTGCTCTAAAATGCAGGGGTGTGGCTAAGATAAGGCTCCAACCATGGACTAAAACTCTGTGTTTCGGTAGTGACATGAAAACGTGGGAGTGTTTTTTTTTAATTCTTGTTTTTTATTTTAAAAGTGAAACTTACGATAAAATAAACTTTATTTGAAGAAAAATAACTAATGATCTTTTTAAAGACAGCATTGAAGAAAAAATGCAAAAAAAGTACTCCTATTAATTTAATATATAGTATCATTATTTTCACAAGTTGAAATTTAGGGGTTAGGATTTGGTACAGCCACCTCCCAATAGAAAGTAATCTCTAAATTATGACTGTATATATTTAGCTCTAAATATTTGCTATTGTTTCAATTTGAGAAAAAGTTTGTTTCAAGTTATTGCAGTAATAAAGTTTAATTCATGGCCTGACTTCAGGGGGTCTTTTAGTGAGGCACTGTTTTGTACATGCATCTGTAGTGGCAAGCGGCAAAAAATCAACGTAAGAAATTAAGTTGCTGCAGCACTGATTGCGACATGCAGCCAGTTTAAAGGTTAAACTGATGAACATCAGTTTGCGTGCATTACATTGTATTGGCTGTATTTTAGGAAAGCACTGTATGTTGTTGAGAAATCAGCATACAGGTTTGCTGAATGGACAGACCTTTAGTGCTCTCCTACATATATAACTCCCCTAGACAGATGTATCATGGATTTTCTTGCCCCATATTTTTCTTAACTGCATAGCCCTTCCATGGTTTTTGGATGTCCGACTCATGGTTTAGTTCTGGGGCCAGGCCTGGAACACATTTGTCTCTTGTTTCAACATTGACTGCTCAATTTTAACATCATAGCCTTGAAAAAATAAAAATGATTTTTTGTTAAGCTCCTATGTGTTGTGGGACTTGTTAAAGGGGAATTTTACTGAAGACTTGCATTATTCAATAGCTGAGAATTATCTCAAAACTATTATAAAACAATGTGTTAGACATCAGGCGATGTATTATTTATACCTATGTTATGTAATAGCTTCCTGTGAAGAAGCTTTTAGTGACTTTTATTGCTGACGTGTTATAGGGGAATTCCACTGATTTCTCAAGATTTGGATTTCTTTACAGTGATGGTGACAGGAACCAAGGGTTGCAATGTCTACAACACAAATACAGCTATTTTATTCACCCAAAATCCAAAATCATCAGTGGACATACATTTATAGTCTGGGTTTTTTAATGTAGTGCTGACAATGGTAAAACAGTAATAAATCTGAAAAAAATTCTTTGGGGGTTATTTTGCCCCACAATACCCTGCATGTAACCCTCTGCAATGGATTTAAAACCAATACAATTCAGCCCAAAATCTTCTCAAAACTATCATAAAACAACATCTCAGGCATCAAGCAGTGTATTTTCTAACCTTTTCATGTAACGACTTTCTGTGAGGGAGCTTTTAGATTCATTATACTCTGCATTGAATGTCTGTGCCCAGTTGCATAAAACACCTTAAGTTAAATTTTCCTGTAAGATTAGCATTCCTAAGTATTTCCTACATTTTTCTAAGGTTAAATGTGTTACATAAAAATCCTTTAGGTGTTACTTAAGAGTTTTCTTAAGTGAAATTGTCATACATGCTTACCTTTTCCATTAACAGTCAAATTTCTCTTTAATAATCCACTCAAGCATGGCATAACATAATTTCTCTTAATTATAGGATAATTGAAGGCAAGGAAAACACATGTTTAAGATTATTGACCAACATGAGAAGCTGAAGACATGGCTGAGAAGGTGTTTGAAGAGGAGAATGTACCTGTGCAAGTTCTTCATGAGAGAGAATTCTAAGCCATAAAAAATATTGAGAGGGCACAGATTTGACTGTCGCTAAATGTATAAAGCTAGCGAACTGAAAGATGACATGACTCTGTTTTGGTGAATGTAGGGCTACATGCTGAGGGAAATAATGTCTTCAAAATAAGCTAATTGTACATGAAATATATAGAAAAATAAACCTTTTGCTGCTGTCATAACAAAATCTCATACATACCTCCATTTTTTTTTGCTCTTTTACCTAATTTGAAAATACTTGTTGCCCTTTACTTTGTGTGTAAATTTCATAATAAATGATAAAATGAGCCGCAAGAAATGGCCCAACATGACTTGGAAAAAAGTGTGGTTACATTGACTTAAAATATGTATAGTATGTTTTTTTTTCCTTCACTTGTAAATTTATCATTATAGAGATTGGAGATTTTGAAAATCAGTGGAATTCTCCTTTAATTTCCTCTTAAATAATGCGCTTCATATTAAACTACATTGCTTCAAATTGTGTTATGAAGTTACAAAAACGACTAAACTTTGGCGGTACTGGTGTCTTATTTTACAGCCTAAAATTAAATCTCTCTTTACCAAGGATATATGTTGGATCTTTGCTTGGCTACCAATAACCTTTATTATTTTCTGGAAAAAAATTCCTTGACTTCATGGCTGCTTCTGTGAAGTCTAGGTAGCATAACTCACAACAACAAGTCTGAGCAGTCCCTATTAGTGTAGAAAGTAATATTTATTTATCTATATATTTCATGGCTTTCATATTTCACTTGCTCAGTACTGCTTGGGCCAGTGGCTCTGTGTCCTGTTGTAAAAAAAAAACTGCATTGAATTGATTGGTGCATTGGTGCAATTACCACAGTCCAGTCACGCGTTATCAACAATAATGATCTTGTCACACTGAAGTGGGCACAGTCACATTGATTACACTGCACAACACTTTCCCTCTCATTTCATATTAAGCACAGGGCCATGAAGGTACGCTAGAAAGCAGAACCTTTAAATGCAATCCCGAGCAGATTAGGTCACTTTGCAGACATAACAAATGTTTCATGACAATGAAATACAGATGTTTGTGTCAAAAGGTTTCCGTGGACAGGATTATGAGAAGCATATGATCCTTTCAGGATAAAACATTTTTCTACATAGACTAAGACTTGGATCACGCTTTCCACTCTTTGCTTATTACTAACAAGCCTGTCAGCTTTTCATTCTGTTAGGTTAAATGGGGAACAAAAGAAAGACAAAAAGGAGTGTTAATGTAAGCCACCTCTTAAAAAAAGAATCTGTATTTCATCTTGCATTAAGGCCCTCACAAGCCATAAAGAAGGGGAGGATAGTGTTTCACAGGTTTCCGTTATGCTTATGTTGGAAGGAAAATTTACAGTAATAAACCTCAGTGTGCACTCGTAATGGTGATGGCATTTCTTTAGAGCATGGTGTTGTGATTTTTCCTTTAATGTTCTGTTTGAAACAAGCGCAGGACATGCCTTTTAGTGTCTGAGGTCAAAATTGTCACAAAGAACACAGATTCATGGTCTTTAAATGTGCATTTTCTGACACTGTGTTATGCTGCAGTGCAACAGTCTCTCTTCTTTTTTGCAGGTTGTGGTCATAGCTAGCATTGTCACCACCCATGAGCTCAAATATGATGACTACGTCTTTCCTTACTGGGCTAATTTGGTGGGCTGGGGCATCGCCATGTCCTCAATGATATTCGTGCCCTTGTACGCCATCTACAAGTTCCTCAGCTTGCCAGGCACCTTTAAGCAGGTTAGTTTTATATATCATATATCTATTTTAGTACAGTGTTAGGGTGCTTTTACACCCACCTTGTTTGGTGCGGACCTATTGAACCTTTTCTTTAGTTAGGTCCGTTTTGACAAGCGTGAACACTCCACCCATACTGAGGTGCACACTAAAGAAATGGTCTGGGTCTCGGTTGGCTTCCAGATGAGCCCTGGTTGGGTTCGCTGCTGGTGGGGGCACATTTTTGTGATGGTCCACGCCAAACAAGGCAATTCAGTAGCAGAGCATGCTTTTCTGCTTTCATGCTTACTGTCCCCAAAATCTCTCTGTTTTAACGTCTGACTCTTGAAAGATGCTCATACCATGAGCTGCTGTTAATAACGGCTAAATAACTTGTCTTTAATTTTAGCACACGGATTACAGAACATATTGCATCAGCGATCTGTTATCAAATAATGTTTATTATTATTTCTTTGACTGTGATGCATTTATATGTTACATGTCTCCATTTTCATGCAAAGTTGGAGTTTTTTGGCTTAAAACATGGCAACAGCTTGCATGAATGCTTGCAAATGAACCAATAAACAAGCACTTGTGTGTAATTTGGTGCACTTCAGTCGTTGCAGTCTGCAACCAACCAAACCAAATAAAATGATACAGTGTCTCAAACATCCAAAATCTGATTCAAACTTTAGCAAACAAGGGAAAACAACCTTAAAACCTTTTTTTGTCATTCCAAGTACTCTTAACTTTTCAGGCTTTCTCGCTCTTCAACTGTATTCAATTGGTCTCGTTTGCAGCGGATAGCGTACTGCATTACTCCCGAGCATGAACATCACTTGGTGGCAGAGGGGAATGTGAGGCAGTTTAAGGTAAGACCTGCTCTTATAGCTTACAGTCTATTTACAGTTTAAAGTGAAATGTCACATAAGATTATGGTTCTCACTAAGGGATCCTAAGTGACATTGACAGAGAATGTTTGTTTTTGCTTGATATCTGAACATGTATCACTCACACTGTCTACAACCTGATCCAATGGGCTTTATTTCATTCAAAACCAGAAAACTTATCCTCTTGGAAAGTACATGCATGTTCAAACTGCAGGTTTCCAGTAGAGTACAGTAAAGCACACAGACACTGTCAGAGGTATTCAGTCTCATAAATCTCACATGATGGACATCATTCAAAATTACACTGAAACATGTACCTACCACAGCTTACACCTTTGCACAGTTTGGCAATATAGTGCTGTAAAGGAACAAAAAAAGCATGCCACCAAAGCATATAACGCATTTCAAAGAAACATTTATTGAATGCATTTTAATATACATTACATATGTATTTATTTACAATTTGCAAAAGCTGGCACAGCCCTGGTCAAATGAGATGTTTTGGGCACAAACTTAAATACGACCTTTTTAAGGCACAATTTCTATATATTTATGCTTAACATATTGGAAAAAAATACATAAAATATATAATGGGCCTTAATTTTTGCATAGGCCATTTTTTGTTTTATTTTTTATTTTTTCCAAAATCCAGTATGTTAAATTCAGCAAATAAACAGTAATTTTGCATTAAAAATATGCAGAAGTGTGATCTCTGTGCAGAATGTGAACTTAGTTTTACCTTAGAAAATCAATAAAATACCATTTTACCAGAGGAGTCCAAACTTTTGCATGTGAGTGTATTCATATTACATTGAAACACATTTCACTTATTCACTTTAACGAATATGACAGAGCCTAATATTTACTTGGATGAGCCAACATCAAAATTCTTTTTGTCTCAGTCAAGCTCATAAGGCTTATATTCAAATGCTCAAGTGGTCCAATATACAATATTCAATCAGTAAATAGTGTCCTTGTAATGAAAACCATAATAATAATAACCACAATGTCGTTGAGAGATAGTCCATAATAGATAAGATAGGATAATCAAAACCATTAACATCACATGCCAGATAATCTGTAATGCTTAGCTCATCTTGAATGCCGTTTACATGCATCTGCTTAAAGGGCCATATCCGACAATATTCTTGCATTTTATTTTTTCCCTTTTGTCAACCTCTCTTTATCCTTTAGGTTTAAACAGGCTCTTTCAGTTACTGTGCGTTTAAGACTGATATAGGTAAATGACCTCTGTTCTGATTAGCTTCCCTGTATTGAGCCTGCTGAATGTGCTGAAACACTTCCTTAAAAATGGGTAGGGCTAAAGTACTGCGAGTACTGAATCTATGTAAAAGCATAGTTTTTGTGACATCAAAAAAACAGTTTATTTCTATGGTCTACTGTTGCAGCTATTTCCATATATGGACTGTATGGACTAAGGATGTCAATGTTTTGAAACCTGAACCATGTTACATTAAACCTATTTATTTATAAATAGGCGAGTACAACTAAGTATTCCTTAATATGTGCTTTTTAAAACTTTGTTTGTATGCACTTAAATGAGAGCATTAGGCCTGGATATGCTGCTACTGTGCTATTAAGTTCACTGGTTCATCTCTCTATACTAAGGTAGTTGTCATTCTATACCTGCAGCTAAAACACTGGCTTGCCATCTAATGTGGCCACTGGAGATGAAGTGCCATGCCGAATCCCAGGTGGCTGATGGAGAGAATGTGCTGTGCGTGTGGTTCCTGAGAGAAAGGCGCCTCCAGTGAGGTAGACAAAGCGAAGCGATGACTTCTATGTATTTCTCAACCACGTACCCTACCGTCCACGCCACTCTGCGTCTGTCCTGTGGCTGACTTTTTTTCCTATTGGTGGATGAAATCAGTGTTCTTCATGTCTGTATTTTTTATTTTTTATTTTTTTTATGTTGACATTACACCTCTGAAACCTCAGAAAGCTCCTCATAGGGGTGCCATGCCGGGACATTACAGGTATTTTCCACTTTTGATGACCATGTTTTTAGGTTTTTTTCATTTTATATTTCTTTTTTGACTTTGTGGCTCCCTTCTCCTCCAATGTAAATCATTCAGTGTCTGTAAAGATGGAAACGTACCAAAACACAGTAATTTTATGTCTGCAAGAGTGAGTTGCATGTGTGTGTCAGCAAGCATGACCAGTAAACTAACACATAATAGTCTTTTTTAAAGAAAAAAATCAAGATATAATGTATTACACACCTTTAGTTAGGTATGCAGTAGATATCCTTTCATTAGCCCAGTGTTTGGTGGAGAACAGAATTACCCTGGCCTTTCTATCACTGCCCAAGGATCTCTCACACTCTTTCCTGTACCACAGAACCTCATTTGAAGTAGTAAAAGTTAGCTTGCAGGTAATTCCTGAAACCATTTTTGCTTTCTAGACATGCACCACAATGTCAGTGCCTTACTGTCAACTTTCTAATCGATAGATTTGCTACTCATTCGCATAAACCCTAAACTTGGGTGCTCACTGCGACTAAAGCATTAAATTACTGGCATTTTTGATATTCACAAAACCAAAGGCACATCATACTATCAGCTTTCCAAATGGGCCAGGTGTTATGCTTTTAGTTGTACCTTAAGAGATCAAAAGTTTTCCTCTGTTTATATGTATAAGATAAAAAGGGAACAGTACATTTTACACCTCAAAGATCATTTCAAGGCTTGAGTTACAGATAACCTGTAATTACAATCTGGAGCTAAATTTAATGCCGTACTATGATAATGCAGGACCTTTTACATCTTTGAGGCAACTTTTGTTGCTTTTTCTTCAGTCTTTATTGAATTTGCACTACACAAAGAATTTTCTTCTTCTGATTGGGTAATCAGTTGTAATAAGATTTGTTAATGCATCATTAGTGAGGTGTTAGGTATTTCTTAATAATCATTAATAAAATGTTATTTGTGCATTGATTAACATTAGCAAATGAATTTTCATGTGTGAATAAATGAACTGATGGCTTATAAATCATTCAAATTTGAAAGTTTTGCAAATGTTTTTTTTATAATGTTAGGATTTCAGGTTTTATGGTAGTGCTTAAAAATCCACGTTTTTTTATTATTATTATCCTTCGTGGCACAGGTGGACTACTGTCCGGTCCTCGAAACTGCTCAAAAAGCTCATAGAACATAGTCATAAGAAGAAAAGAGCAAAGATAGATATACGAATAAAAGTTCAAACAAAGTAGAACATAATCGGCCTTGCTCTTGGATGACCCTCACTCCCCTATCTCTCAGTGCATTGCTAACCAGTGCGGGTATCTGTTAGCTAACATAACAGAATTGGCAGTTAGTGTTCTCCTCCAAGCGTGTTGAGCTATCCTATGATGCTGTGTTAGAGGCAGTTTGAAAATATGTGATGTTGCTTCACATGCCTTAAAGGAAGCACATGCTAGCCTTCACCCTCCCAGCCTGGTAGTATTGTAGTATTGTGTGATTGAGAGTCTATATTACATTATAGACTCAGTATTACTCTATATTTGTAGACCACATGAATCAGATGCTAACTCCATTATGGCTTAGTCCATGTTCCATGTAAACAGTACTGTGCAAAAGACCACCCTTCATTTATTTATTTTCCAGTCAAAATAGCTGTTACATCCAAGCTATTCATTTTCAGAAGATATTTCTGAGAAGATTACATGTAGGTTACGTGCATAAGAAAGAACCAAATCAATGGAAAATAAGCAAAAAACAAGAGTTTTTCAAACATTATTCTATTATAATATTATTCTAATTCTGTTAAATATATAAAGTGTTTTCTTCCAAATTGCAATAACAATTTTAGATATGAAGAGATTTTGAAAACAATAACAGTTGATGTATAAAGGTAAACACTTTTTTATTTCTCCAATAAAGATAGTATCAATCATAATGTAGAAAGCCCACTCCCAACAATGTATATCATAAAAAAACAGAATAATGCATTTCATGTTTTCTGCTTTTTTTCTGACTCTGAAAAATGAATAACTTGTTCTGACTTAAAATTACATAACTGACCGGTGGTCTCTGACTTTTGCACAGTACTGTATGAATACAAGTCATTCATTGCCATCAGTGGCACTGAGAAATTTACAAATAAAACTTCTACCAACAGTAAGGCTGCAGAAAACTTTGATTTATGAGCCACCAGTCGTAAAATGGAAAGAGTCAATGAGATTTTACACTGTGAGGAAAAAGAGTGGAGTGAATAAGCAGAAAGGTGAGAGAGCCACAGGCTTTTTTTGGTTCGTTTGGGTGTGTATGAATGGCCACTTTTACCTTATAGAGGATTGTGGGAAACTAGCAGTCAGTAGCATAGTGTTTGACCTGTTTCCTCAGAAACCTGTGGACTGCAAGCTTGAAAAGATTACACAGATTATGTACAAAGATTACATATTTCCTGTCATGCAACTTAATTGTCATGTCTGCTTTGAACACAGTCTCCCCCTGATGATATGTGTGAATGTGTGTGAGTGTCTATGTGATCGAGGTCTGCCAATTAGCTCAGAATTTCTGTTTTTGTAGTAAAGTCTCAGTACCACCTTACAACAGGCCCTTTTTACACTTCTGTATTTGACCCAGCAGAAATTGTCACTGCAGGGAAAACAATACAGCAGCGGTCCTCCTTTATAATGTCTCTGATATGACTCTCTTCATCCTTATTAAGGTATTTACCTTAATTTTTCCACAAAAGACATCCTTGATTTGGTGGTGCCGTTTTCATTTTCATAGAGGAACAAGCTACAGTCTGTTTTTTAGTATTACCTACAGGACTATGAAAGTGAAGGATCTCATGACAAGTTACCCAATAAGGTTGGCTAAAAGCAGCTGCTAATGTTTATTAAAATATAGTCAAGTGTTAGTCGTAGTTAGTAATACCTTGTTGACTTTTGTCTTTATGTAGTTTACCTTTACATGTTTACATTTTGCATTGTTTAATCACTTCACTGTTTAAGCTGTAATATCATATTACCTTATTATACAAACAAAACATACCAGACAAAACAATCACAGCTCACTGGCTCATCTGTCTAGTGTTACCTTACTAAGGTGACACCAACAGAATTTATTTTATTTATAGATATCATCACATATCCTTTGTCTCTTTCACAGACAGCTTTTTACCTTCTTTATATTCATACCGCACACCAATCCACTGCTGTAGTGCTACTTTTCATGTAGACCTGGTTAAGCTTGCTTCTCTTTGGAAAAAAAAAAACTGCTCCACCAAATGAATGATATCTTTTGTGGAACAGTTAAAGTCCTTAATAAGACTATAAAATAAGTCCTTTACATCAGAGACATTATAAAGGAGAATATTGTCTACATTTTCATTCCTAGTTCTCATTCTCATTCTCATCCTACTACTATGCCTTGCCCTGCATCAAATACAAAAGTTTGAAAAGGATCTATAAGACTACCCTTGTAAACTGTTTATGAATGGTTTAAAGCTAGTTTATTAATTAGGTCATAAACACCTTAAAATCATTAATAAGCAGTAAAACACATAAAAAGGGCAACAGTGAGCTGTTATGTCTGATGAATATGAATATCTGATGACAGTTATAATGCTGACTGATGGAGAAAATTTAGATAAGTAACCAGCCAAATCTGAAGTTTAACAGTATAAATCCAGGTGCCCAATCCTGGTCCTTAAGGTCTACCACCCTGGGAAGTTTAGATCTTACACACCTGGCTCTGATGTTAAGATGCCCCTGAAGGCCTTCATTACCTAGATCAGGTGTGCTAAATTAGGTAGCTAAACTCTGCAGGCTGGTAGATCTCCAGGACCATGATTGGGCACTTGTGTTATAGACCATGTGGGCTCACTATTTGGCAAGCAATAGGACACTGTTGTCCTTTTTATGTATGTGTTATAACTGCTCATTAATTATTTTTAGACCCAATATACCTTTAATAAACTAATTTAAACCCACTCATGAAGGTAGTCTTATTGTAAAGATGTACCAGTGTCACTGCCATGACTACTTTGTGTGATTTTTTTTTTTTTTGAAGAACAGTATTAAGTGCCAAAATCTTTCCCCTTTATATTTTTTTTTCTATTTTTATTTATTAGAGTGGAAGTCCATTCAAATATATACATTACATTGTAAACTTGGTAACTGGTTGGAAACAAGCCACAACTGTGGGTTACAAAATATAAATATATATATAAAATATATATATATATAAATATATTCTTTTGTTATATATCTAATCTTGTATTTATCAGATTCTTTATAATGAAACGTGAATGTAAAGTATTTTAAATGTAGACTGTCTATTGTTATATCACGTGTTTGATGTAGGTAAAGGTAAACCAAACGAAAAATAAACAAATATGTTCTTCTGTGTAACTGGGGCGGCTCAGCCGCGTGAATGTAGACTGTTCAGCCCAGCGTTTCGGAGCAATGTTTACAGAATGAGTACAGGCATTCTGTTGATTGTGAGTGATAGTTATCCATGATGAAGTCAAAATATGCACACTACCACAATAAAGAACGTTCCACACAATGACAAAAAAAGGAGGGGAATGTTTTGTCTGTCTTTCAGGGAACAAGAATGGGTTTGTGGGAAATTATACTATGCTGATATAAAAGTGCATTTCCTCATGTTGGAGCTGAGCTGAGTGATGTAATTAAGCAGGTAAGTGATCTGAAGGTTCAAAAGCAATTTGTCTCTGATTAATAATTGCCTCTAAATTACTGGCCAGATACAGACAAAGACAGGAACAGAGGCCAGGCCATAAGGTTAATTTATTTATTTGTGTTTTGCTGAGCACAGGCTGACATGGTCATTCTGCCATCTGTCACTTTCCCCATTGTGTTTTGTCTGTCTCTGTTACTGACCCTTTCTGTATAGCCAAAGGGCTGTTGACCATCAGCAACAACTCTTTCCTTCTACAAAGAAAAGAACAGAAATAGTTTGCTTTACGACCACAGTGCTGGCTGCACTCACTGGCATATTCTCTCCCATTCTCATTATGTAAATGATCAGTTCACTTGGGTCGATTGGTCATCAGGGTCATTGCTGCACCAGGCACTGCCAACATGTATATAAGTCCATGTATATGGTATAGCACACTATAGTCCCACAGTGAGCTCTGGATACTGTTTTGTTAAGTGATACTCTCCTCAGGCACAATGTTCATTGACTACAAAAGACAGTGCTGTGTTCCCTTGTCCATCCATCATATCTTTAGAGAAATGGAAACTGAGTCTAAATGATCATCTACAGATATCTTTTTGGCTGAAACAATTGTGAACATGTTAACATTTTATGCTAGTAAAACACTAGTAAAATTGTTCCTCCCATTAAAATGAATTGGAAAATGTCATGAATTCTAAGTGAGAACTG